ATTTACCTTCATACTAACTACAATTAATCTACATTTTGTGAGTTACTTGAACTAACTGTTATATTTTTGTAGTTATCGAGCTGTGGTTACCCTTTTCTTCCTTATTGTTTTGAGATAATGTTTACATGTGTAGATGTCCTGTATTGTTTTGTAGTTATAGGTGTGGGTAGGTTGTTCTTCTTTTAGTTATATTTTGTAGTTATCATGTAGTTATATGTAGATTACAGCTTCTTTTTTATGCTAACTACTAATGTTCAATAATTTTTTATTTTCTGCAGAATGGCCATTACTTTGCACCACAAAATGTTGATTATTGTGTGCTTAGATTCCATAGTTTGTGTCATCCGAGCATACCTAGCCAGATAAAAGCTTTACTCTCTCCAAATGCTTTAAAGCTTTTCCAAAAAACTTGTTTTGGTTACTTATTTGGTCTCCCCACAATCAGTATGCAAAACCAAGCAATTCATCTTCTGATGAAGTATGAATTGTCAAAGTCTACTGACTCATATTTTTCAGTACTATTGAAGGGTGAAATATTGAATTTTTCCTTGAGAGAATTTGGGTTGATTACTGGTCTAAATTATGTGAATAAGTTTTCAGACTATGGTTACACTTCCACTTATGTTAGCCATTTAATGACTACCTATTTTTCGAACAAACAAAGGGTTTAAAAGTGGCATCTGAAAAATGTAGTCACAAATAAAGCTTGGGCAAACGATGAGGATGCAGTGAGGTTGTGCATTCTTTATCTGTTGAAATTTTTTGTTTGTCCTTCTGATAAAGACCATGTGTCTTTCATAGACAAGTTTATGTTCTTTCTGATAGAGTCTGGTAATTTTGAGTCATACCCATGAGGTATCAAATCCTTTAAGCAGGTTATTGAATCTGTCCGACATCGTCTTAATTCCCATGTACATTCTTATCAGATACGGGGATGCTCATTAGCCTTGCAAGTGTGGCTATATGAGTGTTGCTCGTCCGTCAGTACGGAGCTTGCTACGAGGTGTTCTGAATCTATACCTCGCATTTTAAGATAGTCAGCTACAAAGGGCCAGATTTGGTTAACTGCAATTGAAGAGAAGATGATCAAGCCTGAGTGGCTCAAGGTATATTTTTTCACTTTTGTATGATGCTACATTTACCTTCATAATAACTACAATTAATCTACATTTATTTATTTACTTGAACTAACTGTTATTTCCATCATTCAGTTCACAAGCATCACTGAATTTGGAGAAGAGATTGGAGTGCTTAATCTGCCAGACAAGATTCAGTATGAAGATGCACATGGTGCTCAATCATCACAGGTTCCAATTGTTGCTACTCCAACATTTGAACCCAAAGATACAGATTGTCAAGAGGATATTGAATCTGTGACTAGCAAGCTCAGGAAGTTGGAAAAGAGGATTGAGCAGGTAATATAAATAACTACAATATAAAGACATTTTTTGCTACAATTTAACTTCATTCCATAACAATTATTGTATGTTATACATTGTAGTTAATTTGTGGTATAATTCTATATTGAGCCCTGTTGGTATTGCACAAATCTTTGTTAAATTGTAGTGGAACTGTAGCACTTTGAATAAGATTACCAACTAATTATATATTTAATTTTTAGGTTGATGGAAAGTTAGCTGAATTTAGGAAGGCTGTTTTTGAGGAACTCACAAGCCTTCGAGAGTTCATAGATGTTTTTGTGAAGAGTGTTTTGAAGGTGATAAACATGAGATACGATGTGGACGAGTCAAAGGTAAGAATTGACATATATTTTTGTAGTAAAACTAATTATGACATATGAATCAAATATACTCAAACATACTCAAAAATTGTAGTTTGCTGGTAGTTCAACCAAAAATAAAGACCAACAACAAGGAGAGAACAACCAGCAATTTCAGTTCAATATTGGTGATCAAGTGCATGCAAGCACAAACAATACAGGTATTTATAGAATTCCTTCAGACATATCTACAAACTTCAGGACAACATTATCTAATTATTATAACCTCTTTTTCACTATGTTTTGCAGCTGCTATTTCTCCGGAACATATTCAAGCACATGTTGACTTATATCCTGATTTTCAATAAGCAGCTGGGGCATATAAAGCAGGTATACTATCATACTTTCATTACAATAAGGTTACAATGCAAAAATTTTATAATTCACACTTTAAATACAAATTCCCACATATATCTACAATTCTCATTTTTTAAATTATTCATTCAAGCTGAAGTTTCAGTAGAACATCTCCAAGCACATGTTGAGGAAGAACCAGAATTTGAAGGAGTAGCTGAGGCACAACAAGCAGGTATAATATCAGAAGCTCATTATATTCACTTTATATCAACAATATTGTGCATAACTACATACATCTACATTTATCTTCAGAAGCTGAAGTTTCTCCTGGGGGTGTGCCAACAATGGTTGAGGAAGAACCAGGATTTCAGGAAGGAGCTGAGGTAGAAAAAGCAGGTATAGTATCATAATATACTTTTGAAGTAGTAAATTTTTGCTTATACAATTATACAATGCTGTTAAGTATGTTATTTTATATGTAACAGATATTGAAGATAACGTTCCACAGTCTCCAATTCACGGTGTGACTGTGAATGAAGTTGTTCCTGAAGGTTCAGGCATTAACAAGAAAGGTCCGGCATTGGATGACTTTGAGTTGTCCAGACAACTTAACACAATTGGTCATGTATGGCGAGACCATACCAGATGAAGCAACCCCTATTCATCCAGGTAGAACCAGGCAACCGGGGAAACATGCACGATCACCTTTCACACCTTTGTATAGTTCTGGAGGCAGCACCTCTGTCGGACCTAAATTTTTCTACCTCAAGCACCCCTTCACAACTGTTATAGGTGAAAATGTAGATGTTGATTTGATAGAAAGGTTCACCAACTAGTTATACCTTCGTAGTGACAAAGTATCTAAGAGGTATGAATGCTTAATTTTACACTTTCATTTCACCATTTTTAAACTTTAAATATGTAATTCATTTTGTCATTTTTTTTATTTGATATTTTTTTGTTATTACAAGAGGAAAGAATACTTTTCCAAAAAGGATAACCAAATCAAGCCTTGGTTAGACTTTGATTGTGAAAAGGTGGATAAGAAGGACTGGTTTTATGCCTTTGCTCACCCAGGACAAGTCATCAATAACACGGTAAGTATAAAGAACAAAATCCTTCACAATATGTGTTTTGTCTTCAGCTGTATAGTGTAATTGTAGTTATATTGTAGTTTTGTCTTCAGCTATGTAGTGTAATTGTAGTTATATTGTAGACAAGATATATAGATTACTATGTTTTGTCTTCAACTGTTGAATTTGTTCCTCTGTATAGTAGCTAAAGTGTAGCAATATGTTAGATTATTTGATTAGTTCAAATTGTAGTTTAAGTTGTAGCTGTTATGTAGATAATTTTGGTTACTTTGTATCTTATAGTAGACTTTATTTTATTTTACAGCACATTGATGTTATTATGTATTATTTGAGAAAAAGAGGCAAGTATGGCCCCTACAACGACACTAGGTTCACAAAAACCGATTGCTTGTTCAGGACCAAGATTGAACGAATCTATGACAAGTTCAAAAGTTCTCCACCAGAACTTAAGTATTAGGTTGTTAAATCAGATGATAATGTTGCAGAATATATCCTTGGGTATAGACTTCTTGCTAATGTTGCCTGGGATGTAGTTGACTATGTCATCATGCCTGTGAACATTGTAGATAATTTCCATTGGTTGTTGCTCGTTTATAGCGGACAGGCAACTTTATGTTTATGATTCCATGGTGTCTTCAAACCGTCATAATACTGTTGAATCATTGGTTGATAAGTTTTCAATCATTATCCCTCTGTATTTGTCTTGCACTGGTTTCTACGGGAAACGTAATGACATTGACTTCAAGACCACAAAGGCATACATTGAGAAACCAGTTACAGACCCTCTCAACATACAGTGGATGGTTGCGGAGATTCCACAGCAAAAGGAAGGATCACAGTAAAAAAATTATTCTCCCTTTTTATATGTTTAATTATTTTATTTTAATTAATTCTTACATAATAAAAAAATTTGATCTTATGCAGTGATTGTGGTGTATTTGTGGCGGCTTTTGCGGAGTATGTTAGCCTTGGAGATTTGGCAATCCCAAACGAAGATCTTTCTGATATCGACCAACACCGTAGACGCTATGGAGCTCTACTATGGGACTGTGCTACAAAGAAGCAAGAAGATGGGTCAATCAGTGAAAGTGAGGTTACATGCAGGCTAGTAAGGAGGAATGGTGCTCCTGCTAAAAATGAGAGGACTAGAGTACAGAGAAAGAAGAAATAGAGTTTTGTGTTCCTAGTTTAGTTGATGTCATTTTGTAGTTGAAGTGGAATACACTGTAGGAAATATATCATTTTGGTTGTTTACATCACTTTATCTTCATTACATTAAACTCGAGTACTCTGATTTGCTAGAATACAATTTGCCTTTAATCTTCAAGTAATTTTTATGAAATACCTTCAAGTTCTAGGTAATTTTTGTATATAACTGTCATTTGTAATTAAGGTACACAGCCAAAATATGAAATAAATACAGGAATCATATAAATAAATTATCCACAATTAATCTACAAATCATCTACAAATTATTAACAAGACAACAATTTAAATACATTTAAACTACATTTTAACTACAAATCATCTACAAATTATTAACAGGACTACAATTAGACTACATTTAAAGTACATTTTAACTATAATCTGGAAACAGTTTACATTGAATGAATTCTTCATTAGTATTAGTTGTTTTGTATATCGTAAATATTAAAGTTTAACTAAGCTATAAAAAAGACAAATTTAGATGCCTGACAGAATACATAAAATCATATTAAACGCAAATACACAAATTGTAGTATACTTCATAATCATCTTCAAAAACTTGAACGATTACACAAAAAAATCAGATAATTTGAACTCACTAACATTTATTTTGAATAACTATTCTAACTACATGATATTCTTTTCTTTTTGGGCGCATTCTTGCAAGTTCTTTTGTTATGCCCTTCACCTCCACAATTTTCACATGACACCTTGTACTTCTTTGAGTTTATTTCATCAAATATTTTATATCTTTCCTTGTGAGATCTCCCTGGCTGCCTTTTATCTCCCGCCGGTGGCTTTACTACCTCATCCAAAATATGTTGTGGCACATCCCATTTGCTTTCATCAGGAAGAGGATTTACTGGCATTTCATAGGTAAGCAGAAGGCTCTTCCTTGTGTAATACGGAGAACAATAGTTTTCGTATGTTTCCTTCCTATGCCTTAATGCTGCCAAAGCATGCGCACATGGAAGTTCATCAAGTTGGAATTGTCCGCAGCTACATTTCTTGTTTTCTAGACACACAATGTACCGCTTCACACCATCTAACACAGTATGTATATGATCTGTTGAAGCCCTCACCTACAATTGAAGAACAAACAGAAATAATAATATATCAATCATTAAAAAGGATTATCCACAACTTACCTACAAATCAGCTACAAATACATTACAACTTATCTACAATCTACAATTACCCACAATTTGACTATAGTTTATCTACAATCTGGAAACAATGCATATTAAGCAATTTATTTTTTTTGCACCAAACAAACAGATCTTACCCTTAGTTTCTGAGATAATGTATTGTTGTCATCCAATTCTTTGTTGAATTTGTACCCAAGGTATGTGAAAGTACTCATTGCCTTCAATAACTTCTCTTTCGTCCAACGTTCAAGAAGCGTCCTCATACACTCTAATAGATCAAATATTGGCAGCTCTCTTGCCTCTTTTGTTACAGCATTCAACGACTCTGCAATATTTGATGTCATAGTAAAAGTTCTATTCACCGTTGCATGTACTCTTGACCATCTATGATAGCCAATATCATATAGGTAAGATTTCACACGCGGGTCTACCTCTTCAATCTTCAACATCCTTTCATTAAATTCATCCAGAGTGTATGACCATGTTATAGCAAAGTACAATTTATGTAATTGTAAATGTCCCTTCTTGAATTTGGACCTTATATTTGTCCAAATATGCCACATGCAAGAGTAGTGTGGCATGCCCGGATAGACAATTGATGTTGCCTTCAGTATACTCTCATTCCTATCTGAAACAACACACATTGAAGGTCTTTCACCATATGCCTCCTTGAATTGCTCAAAGAACCACTTCCAAGACGCGTCGTTTTCAGAATCAACCACAGCATATGCCAAGGGAAATATAGTACCTACATTTTTAATTCATAAAATATTAATTGGCAGCCCTGAAAAGGTATATAAAAATATAATTAAATAACAACTACAATATATATTCAGAATATAGACAATTTATCTACACTTTTTTCCTGTAGCTACAAAATAACTACAATATAACTACAATTTAACTACATTTTATAGAATGCCTACAAAATTATTACATTATTTACCTACTGCATCCATGGTGCTTGCTGTAAGCATAATCCCCCTGTAGGCTGACTTTAAGAATGTCCCATCAACCACTACTACTGGCCTACAATGTTGCCAACCACTTATTGATGTACAAAGAGCAACAAATGCGTATAAGAAGCAATCATCTGCTGCCTTATTCAATTTAACAACAGAACCAGGATAAGTCTCCTCAAGAATATAAAAATATTTGGGTAATTTGCTGTAGGAGTCAGACGGATTCCCTCTCAAAACTGTAAAGCCTTTTCCTTGGCTCTCTATGCTTGCATGTAGCTTAGGTTCAGTCCATGTTCGGATAACTTGTCAGTTTGTATGTCCTTTGGTGTGTAAACAGTCTTAGGATCAAAATACTTTGGAACGACCATGCTACCAACTATAGCTGTAGTACGTTTGCGTTGTATGAATGTTTCGTCCAATAAGGAGCATGTGTGTTGTTGGCTGAAACTCCTTATCTTGAACATTGCCGAATCATTAATTGACGTTGCCTTGAAGTGCCATTTACAGTTTTCAGCAACGCATATAAGCCAGTAGCTACAAAAAAAATACAATATTTAATACATGTTATTGATGTAGAAGCAACAAAAAGGACTGATTTAACACAAATTCGTTAAAAATTATAATTAACTACAGTTTAACTACAATTAAACTATAATTTATAAAAACCACATATCTTCACTAAAACACTGCTTTTACTGATATATTCTCCACAAATAAATCCATGCCTTCTATGACTAGATCTTTTTACTCTGAATTGGAACTTGTGCATCACAGAAAAATTCTTCATTGCAGCAGCTACAGTTTGCTTGCCCTCATAAACTTGTCCTTCTTCAATATATGTTTGCATAGATTCAGTTATTATTTCACTTTGATATTCCTCTATAGCTGGTGAGGATGGAATTTCAAGTAAGTTTAGAGATCCAGACGAACCTGCAGCAACATAGAGATAAATGTAGTAACTATATAGATAATTTTGAAAACAACATTGCTTTATGAGCTTCAGTACATTATTTTTTGTAGTTAATTAGTAGATAAATGTTGTAATATTGTAGATAACACAATAACTCTCTGCAATGTCGAATTAAACATACCTACACTTGTGCTATCGTTGGTGATTGCCAATTCCATATTGAAATCTCTTACGCTTATACATAAAAGATACGAACCTAAGTTCTTATTCTCCTTTTTGTTATCCATATACACACGAACCCCCATATCATTCCTAATCTCCATTGAAGTACAATTATCGTTCACAATGTATTTGATTTCTACAACTTTATCTGATGTATTAATCGATAGTTGTTCTGCAATTGTAGAAATCAGAATTCCGTAGCTTGCATTCTCATCTACCACAATGGCATCAACTTCAAAATCTCTAAATTTGCCATAGTGATCCCAATTTCCATTCAATTTTAGCATTATTGGGATTTTTGACATTATTTCGTGTAGTTGAGAGAAAAAAGATGAAGAACAGATATAGGTTCGACAATTTGAGTACTGAGGTCGATGAAGAACAATTTTGAATTCTACAATTTGTATTGCGCTGTAGAATTTGTAAAAGCAATTTGAGTACTAGAGCTTCTGAAGCTTGCGTTGTTTTAGAATTGTAGTGAATGAGAGAATTACGCAACAATGAGATCTCTTTCCGTTTCAAAATTCGAATTTAATGTGGAAAGAATCAAACGCAGATTTCGTGCCTTCTTTTTAGCGCGTTTTAAATGGCAGAATCTGCCTAATTATGAATTGGTATATAAATTGTAGTAAAAGTGTGGACTGTGCGGGTAATTAACAAATTATGAACATTATTGGTAATAAGGTTTCATATATGGTATAGATAGGAAAAAATCCCTTTTCAATACCAGTGGCCCATTTATTTGGCCCAAAATTCTATAGCAACTAGCCTACACGTCCTTAGCTCTAACAAATTTCAATTTTTTGTTTCCCTTTTAGCTAATAAAGGAAATAATATTCTTCTATGTATACATATGACACCAGATTATAGAAATAATATGTATATATATATATTCATGACTTTAACACACTTGCAACTACATACTAATAAGAATATCATTTAACTTAAACAATCATAATGCAAATAAAATTGTAGTAGCAAATATCATGGTACCAAATTAAAGGATCAAATTAGACTTTAAAGCATGGCAAAAATATGGCACGCAAACAACCTGTACTACTCACAGCTAACGAAATTTCTTTTGCTATATCCAAATGCATTGAAGGATAAAAGATTAGATTGGAAATTGACCTCTATATTGACTGGATCAAACTTTACATTTCTATAACTCAACCATCGAGCCAAGAACAAAGACAATGACCATAAACCTTTGCCGGCGGCAACCTCGATGGACCACTCGAACCACAAACAGAACCAACAATATGTAACCTCGAAGCTCCAAAATTCCGATACTAGCACTCGGTGGTTATGGAGTTGTTTTGTGAGGTGTGTTTGGACTGATTTTCGCTGCTGTATTTGGGAAGGGATTTGAGGTAGTATTTGGAGGTTTTAGTGGCTGTTTTCTTGTGTTTTCAGGTGGTCTTTGTGAATGTTAAAGGCTGGTTTTAGAGCTGGTATTTACGGAGCATTATATGGTATTTTAAGGGACCTTTGGACTGGTTTTCATGCAGGAAGAATACTGCTTGTGTTGAAGAAAGAGAAGCAGACCAGATTTTTTTTGAATCTCCTTCCTCTAAATCTCCTTTTTTTCTCTTCTCATCTTTATAAAGAAGAATAATGGTGGTTATTAAATCTTGTGGCCAGAATTTGGAGTGGGAACGTGGGATTAAAATAAAGAAGAGGAATTGAGACGTGACTGTGTGTGCTAGTGTAAAGTGACGTGAGGGAGTGGGGATCATAGGGTTGGGACGTGAGTGTGTAGGTAGTGATTAGTTAGATTTGAAATTTGTTAATCTTTTGGTTTTATTTTCAATTTTTTTCTTCTTCTTTTCCTTTTTGTTTTTTCTTTAAAAGATAAAATATAAAGATAAGACAATAACTACCTAATTTTTAGACTAAAATAATATAGGCAAACTATTCTAATACACTATAATTTAAATGACATCCAAAATATATTAAAGCTAAGCTAACTTATTTATTATAATTCTAATTTAAAGAAACCATACTTTTTGTAAATTTTTCTTTTTCTCTTTATAAATGAATAAAATTTATACTATAAGCATGTGAATATTTTTTTGTAATTTTTAGCTTTTCTCGAATAAAACCTATTAAAAATAAGATAAAAGTTTAAAATATCAAGATTAGACTTAGAAAAAATATTTACACTAAAATAGTATAGAATTCGAGTGTGGTCAAAAATTAGTTGTTCACATATACTACTATCATGTCTTACCTACTCGGTACTTTATTTGTATTGACGTCCCTTTTGCTTGGGGATGCTGTGTTTCATGCCCGCAGGTCCCGATAGATAGATTAACAGTCATCCTAGTAGGCTATTAGCTCAGCGGAAGGTGTTGGTGCACTCTACTTGCTCCGGAGTTGCTTATCTGGTCAGTATGATTTGGACATATATTGATTGGTATGGTGGGGCCCTATCCCGTCTTTTATGACGTTTATGTACTCCTAGAGTCTTGTAGGTAGATGCCATGTTTATGGATACTTGTATTATCATGTCGGCCTTATAGGCCCGTATGTCGCATGCATAAGCTTCTATATCATGTTGGGTCGTTACATGTCGAGTATTCTCTTAGGTTTTATTCTAGTTATCCCACAAAATCTTTTCTGGCTCATTTACCTATGATAGAATGGTATGAAAGATATGTTACGTTGGTACTCGATTGAGTAAGGTACCGGGTGCCCGTCGCAACCCATTGGTTTGGGTCATGACACAATTACTACCATTGTTGTGCTGACCCAACACCACAGAGCTGACCTATTTCTTCGGATACTCCTTGTCTTTACTCTAGGGTAGTACTTCTCCCCGTCGATGTGCAATGGTTCCAATCACAGCCCAGGTGCAGATAATCCTAGCACGAACCACGTAGTCTAGAAACTCATAAACCACCGCATTTTTTCTGAAGCACCCACTTTCTGCCGCAACCACGATGCCCACGCTGAATAAACCTTTTGTGAATCGGAAGTTGTTTCTCCAACTCCCCTTGATACTGAAATGTAGATTCATTACTAATGCAGAAACATCGTAATCCCCAATATCATCTCATGCAAGATCTCAGACCTTAGCCATATATAAATTTCGGAAACCTTCCAATACCATATATATACATACCTCAGGCCAAAACTGATGTAAATCTGGCTTTGCAATCTGAATGCCGCTAATAGACTCCCCCACTTGGCGCGAAGCCATAGAAAACAACATCTGATTATCCGCAAAACTAACCTTCACAGCTCG